TAGTATATATCCAAGTGATCCCATCCCGCCTCGTATGTATGGTCTAATTAAAGCTCACAAACCTGAAAAATCCTATCCTATGAGAATAGTTGTATCAACTATCGGCACTCCTAATTATGGAATATCAAACTATTTAGTAAAGAAAATACAACCTATCTTAAACAAAAACCAAACTTGTCTGAAAAATTCTTTTGATTTTATTAGTAAAGCGAATTCATAGGAGATTGACAAAAATGAGGTTCAAGTTTCATTTGATGTAATAAACTTGTATCCATCAATACCACTAAAGGAAGCCACTTTAGATGATTCCTACAAATAACCATAATCCAGCGAAAATTTCTATTAATAAATTATTAATTGTATTAAGAGAATTCGTATTAATTGATGTTTCTGACTAATATAACATATACTCTTATACATGATGTCAACACATAAAGGTCTCTTTCGACTACACTATAAGGGTATATATATATATATATATATATATATATATATATATATATATATATATATATATATATATATATATATCCTTATAGTGTAGTCGAAAGAGACCTTTATGGTAAAAAAAGTCTCTTTCAACTACAATTTTTTTACCTTGTCTCTTAAGCTGCATTTTATTGTCGTCAAAATGTCAAAGCAATTAAATTAATGCGGAAGTGCATTTTTTTTTTTTACAAATTTAAAAATATCAGTTTCCATGTAAAAGTAAACAAGTAAATAATTACACATTAAAAAAACCATCCGTTTTAACATTTGTACTTTTTTTTTTATTTTTTTTTATTTGTTTCATAAGATTAACATTTATCATAAAAAATATTTAATTATATAAATTAAAAAAAAGCAACAGTTTATTAATACTTAATAATAATATATAATAATATATATTTGCTGTAACAACAATATATATATTATTGCAGAGCATATTGAGATGCTAGAACAGTCCTTTATGTTATAAATTGTCATAGCTAGCTTAAAAAAAATTTAAGGATCTTGAACAAAAAACATAGTTAGGCAAAGAGTTCCAGTTTTTAATTATTCTGTTGTTAAAGAAGTTATTTCTTGAGGAACACTTAATTTTTTCACGTTCACTTGTTAGAGAAGAAACAAATTTGGGATTTTTGAACAAATTCACAATTTTTAAACCATTTTTTAATTTATAGTGGTATGTTAAATCCTCTCCAGTTCTTCAATTTTCTCAAGTTGTTAAATTTAATTTCCTAAGCCTTACTTCGTATGGTAGGTTTTTGAGATCTCAAATAAGTTCTAATATTTCATTGTTTAGAGTTGAGTTCCAAATAGGTACTTCAAATTCGAGATGAGTTCTCATAAGTGTAATATACAATGATTTTACTCTATCAGAATTTAATATAATTAAATATAAAAAATTACATAATAATACTTGATATAAATATTCATTAGAAGTGTTTTGTTTTTAACTTCGTTAAAAAGTTATTTGATATTTAATGCTTTTGTATTTTGATAATACAAAAGCATTAAATATCAAATTTATTTAATTGCAACAGCATTTAAAAACATTTGACTTTTTTTTTTTTCAATGAAATTTTTTTTCATCTTTTTAAATGTATTATTCTTTTATTAAAATTCTTTTAAAATACTTTCGTTGATCTAGAAAGTTATCATTTATAAAATCATAATATATATATTTTTTAATAACGTGTATTATAAAAAAATGCTTACTTATATATTTTGTATAATATAAACTTAAAAAATTATATACAACTGTCAATTATACTTAAAAAAAAAATCATTATCAGTAAATTGTTACTTTATTTAAAAGCAATTTGCTAATATAAAAACTTTTCTTAAGAAGTTTTGATGTAATTTGTTTCACCTAAGGAGTGATTTAGAATAATTTTCATTTATCGCGTTTTTAAGGTGTTATTTGAAATAGCCATGGTCAAATTGTCAAAGCAAAATGTAATTTGCCTGTTCACATAATGAACAGGCAAATCACATTTTGCTTTGACAATTTTGTGATTTGCACATCTTTCTACAAATAATGTTTATTAAATTAAATTTAGTAAATTTTAATACAAAAGGTCAAATCAACTAACTAAAAACAACAAATTATTTTAATGAACTTTTTATCTCCTGCTCCTAAAGTCAAAGTTTCGATCCTTCTTGTTCTTTAAAAAATCTTTGTGTTTATCTTCATCTTCGTGGTTATCTTCATCTTTTTACCCTTCCTAATATGGTTCTTCAAATCTGTAGAATCAATTCAAAACAGTTTTTCAAAAATGAAATCCTTGATTAGCCATGTCTCTAGTAATAATGAAGATTTATGAGTAATGTGTTTTTTTCAGTAGGGAGTTAGGAAAAAAAAATGGATGGTTCAGCTTTCATTTTCATCGAATTATAACAATCATGTAAATATGGAAGTTATTTAAAAATAATGTAATTTGAAAAATTGTATATAAAAATTTTTAGCTACTTACAAATACAGTGCCTGCACTGTTTTTGTAGTTAGCTAAGTGTTCTCCTGCACATTTTTTGTACATTATATTTAAATAAATATTTATCATTAGTGAGTTTTCTTAACCTCTTGCATAGCAGAGAATATGAAAAAAACACAATGACCTTTTCAAGATTAAAATATAGATAAAAAATGACTAAAAAAAATTTAAATATATTTTTCATTTAAATTGCCCTCAAACACCCTGAACACACCATTTCTCACCCTATTTTTTTTCACCGAATTTCTTAACAATTTTTGTCTTGAAGGCGACTTAAAACTCATTGAGCACAAAAAATTTTAAGCTAATTTTTTAGCACCAACTTTAATTAAGTATATAATTCAAAAATTCCCTCAAAATTACTACCAATATGTATATTTTTAATGAATTATTAAAGTAATTAAAAAATAATAATTTTATTAGATAATTTGAAAAACATAAAAGTATTTTGATTAAAATGCTTTAATATAAATCATCTATGCTGAACTTTAATATAATAAACACATTAGCATTAATGTTTTTTTTCCATTATTAATCCTTTCATTGTTGTTAGCATATTTTTAGTTTGTTGAATGGTTTTTTGTTTTACAAATTTTTGACTGGTTATGTATTTCTTGTATATTTTAGTTCATATTGGTATTTATAAAACAATTTTTTTTATTTTTTAATTTTTATATATATATATATATATATATATATATATATATATATATATATATATATATATATATATATATATATATATATATATTTATTAGTTTTTATTTTTTTTAATTTTTTTAATTGTTATTATGGTTGAGTACTGTTTTGGTTGTACTATTTGTATTTTTGAGTACTATTTTAATTGTATAGCCTGTCTTATTTATTTTTAAATATTCCTCTATTAATCTTTATTTTTGTCTTGACAAAATATGCTTTGTCTAATAAATAATTCTCCTTTATTCTAATGTACTTCATTTCTACCCTCAGGCGTTCACTGCTCGTGTGTGACCATTTGGCGAATTTTATATGCCAAAGTTTTTAAATAATAAAATAAACTTAATATAATTAACTATATAATAAGGCTGAACTTAATAGCAGTAATTCTGCTCTTTCAAGTATGTTTGAAAAAACTTTAAAAGTTTACTTAAACAATTAAAAGTCTTTTTTCTATATTTTATTGCTATAAATATATAAGCCCAGATTGAAAAAATGAAAATGTTTAGTATTTAGGGGCTGAGGATTTGACATATCTAACTTTCTATGACCCATTTTCCTAATCCTCTTTGGCTTTGTAAATTTATTATAGTCTTGATGAATGGTTGAAATTTTATTTTCTAAGCCTGAAATTTTGAAAAACATTGTGAGAAATGTCACGCGATTGCTATCTATGTAAGAGATACTTATGTTAAGTGTTTATGCAATCTAAAAGGTCAATCTGCGCATATAGGACATTAAAAAAGATAATTTTTTTTTAAAGTAAAAAGATGACCCGTATTTTACAGGTCATGACAGCTGTAAGAATAATAAAAATGTTAAGTGGGCAAAATGTATATATATATATATATATATATATATATATATATATATATATATATATATATATATATATATATATATATATATTTTTTTTTTTAAATTTATATAATTTTTGTTTTTTTATTCAAGATGCAGAAAGCACAAACCAGTTTATAATTGATCATTTTAATACAACAAAAGAAAAAACAAATTTGTTTCCATCCTCACCATATTTAATTGTATGTTGTCTGAATGGTTTGGGATTGATTTCATTAAAATATCCTTTTAGTTGCAGGTAAGTTTGTTGTTTACATATTAACTTGTGATTTTGATTTTATTTTTTTTGTGAGTTTTGTCCAGATAATTGATCAATTTGTAACTTTATGTGGTTTGTATTAATGTTAATTTGTATTAATTATTTTGTAGTAATGCATGCTTTGTTGTTGTTGTTGTTGTTGTTGTTGTTGTTGTTGTTGTTGTTGTTGTTGTTGTTGTTGTTGTTGTTGTTATTGTTGTTGTTGTAAATGCTAAAAAAATCTTTATCTTGAGAAGATGTTTGTTAAAAAAAATTCTTGAGTACTGATACTAGCTTACTTTATATAAGTTGTTGCTAACACATTTCTTATAACATTAAATATGTATATTCGTTGTTTATTTAGAATTTATTTACATTTCAATGTTAACAATTAAGTTTTTGTTATCAGTAGTTTGGTTGTAAGACTTAAGTAAACAAATAAGCTCTAATGGAATGATGGTAAAGCCATTTATTGTAATATTTCATGTAGTTTAATGTAGGATGTTAATTTCCATTTAGAAAAGATCAGTTTTTATCAATTTTTTTTAATTTCTTTTTTATTTAGTTATATATTAGAAATTATACAGAACTTTTTAATGAAACCATCAACAATAGTTAGAGTGTTTTCTCAACAGAAAACCTCAAAACAAACACCACAAGTGGTTGTCACAAAAGATACTACAAATATAAATACTCCTAGTACAACAAAAGAAGAATGTGGTTATGATATCCTTGTGGAAGCTACAATAAGGAATTGTATATGGTAAGTTCTTCACATTAATAGCTTCACTATCATTGGATTATCAGTAAATTTTTTGTTTTATAGTGTAAAGTTGCTCTGTTAATTAACTTGCAAAACTTTCTGTTTTATAATTTAGACTGTTTATATTTGTTTCTTGTTTAAAGTATTTATTAAACTATGTATAGCAATATTTTATGTTATTTGTTTGATTCTTAACCAGTTGGACTTATGTCTTTTTTATTTTAACTCACTCATTCGGCTTTTAGTTTCAAACATGTTCGACTTACTCGTCTTTTTTTTTATTTTAACTCATTTATCTTTTTGTTCTAACTCATTCAATTTTTTATTTAGCTTACTCAACTTTTTATTTAACTTACTCATTAGACTTTTTTTTACTAAATACTACTTAGTTTTTAGAAATAATTTTGAAAATTTAAAAACATAAATTTTATTCATTGAAATAAAATAAAATACTTTAACAACTTCAAGTTTTATAAATTGATGAGTTATGAGTGAGAAGAATCTTGTCAGAAACTTTTCTCATTCATTTGTTTAGAGAAGAGTTAAATTTGAATATAAATGTCTGAAAATATTTTTTTCATATTAGTTGTCTTCAAGGTGGTTTTCATATCGATAAAAACTTGATTCTTCAGTTTTTAAATTCAATGGCTAATCAAATATACCCAACAGGAAAGACTGATGATCATACTCCGATGCGCCAACGCAATGCCATTTTAATAATTGGGGAAATAGGTGTGTCTATGAAGGGTTACAATGGTGCTCCAGAAGCAGCTGTCACAGTTTTACAACAACGGTTTCATAATCCAGCTACTCAATTGGATTCATTAATGGTTGAGCAATTTACTAGAATATTACTGTCATGTATGGTAAGTAAATTTATTTTCAGATTTGTAATTTTTGTTAAATACAGTTAATTAACTTTTGTTATCTCAAACTGTTTCATTTGGTCCCTTGAAATCCTCTAACTGATTACTAAAAAAATTCTTCGGTTAAGTTAAACCTAAGATAATTCTTATTGAATGGCAATCCTCTTACTGAGTCGTCCTCTTTACGTCTTCTTGGATTATCGCTTACTACTGACCTTTCATGGAAACCATATATACAATCGATTGCTAAATTAGCTTCTGCTAAGGTTGCTTCTCTTTATCGTGCTCGCCATTTCCTTACTTCTGATTCCATTCTCTACCTCTACAAATCTCTTATTCGTCCCTGTATGGAATACTGTTGTCATATTTGGGCTGGTTCTTCTAACGATTCACTTTCTCTTCTTGACAAGGTCCAAAAACGCATTGTAAATGTTGTTGGACCTGGACTATCTGCTAAGCTTGAACCTCTTTCCCATCGTCGTAAAGTTGCATCTCTTTCTCTTTTCTACAGATACTATCATGGTCACTGCTCAAAGGAGTTATCATCTCTAGTTCCATCAACTAAAATTCATTCTCGTTTTACTCATCATTCAGCTAAGTCTCATTCGTTTACTGTATCTGTCCCAGCATGCTCTAAAAACTTTTATTCATCTAGTTTTTTTCCCCGCACTTCAATTTTTTGGAACTCTCTCCCATCTTCATGTTTTCCTGACTCCTACAACCTTCAACTTTTCAAGTCTTCTGTCAACCGTTTCCTTGCTCTATAACTCTGTTCTTTTTTTTCCTAGTAACTCCCAACTTAATAGTGGTTGCTTGCAGCCTTGTTGGGAGTGAATGCAAATAAAAAAAAAAAAAAAAAAAATTTAAACTTTGTTAAGCTGAACCATTGTTTTTGTTCCTTTTCAGCAAATTTTTTCTGATAATTCAAACTTTTTGTATAGAAAATAAAAAAATAAAAATACGGTAAATTTTTTTTGAAAGATGTCATTCTATAGAAAACATAAATAACAGCAGCATATTATTTTCTTTTTTGTTGTTGTTGTTGTATTTAGATCTTAATGAAATCATTATCTGACGTAAAATAAATCTAATAAAAAATCTAATAGAACTTTTTTAAATAAATCATTAATATCATTAAAAAAACAATTATTTTTTAGTTTTTAATAATTTTTCCTTAAAATAAGACCACTAGCTTTTAGATGCAATTTTACAATACTTATTTATTTCTACTTCTTTTGCTGAAACATTATTTACATATTTATTAGTATAATGGTGTATATTTAATGTTTATACTTTGGCATTAAATTAAGTAGAATTGCCCTCAAGTCAAACTAATATCTCATTTTAGGCTCATTTTTGACTTAGCAGGAATTTGTTTTAGTCAAACATTCGTTAAGTTGAATCGTTTATCTTTGCACCTTGGAGGTTCAAGTCATCAGGAATTAACTGGAATTTAAAACTTTTTTTTTAAGGATAACTGCTACCAACCTATAATGGATATTTTTATAAAAATAACTCGTGACTCAAGTGTTGTTACTTATGCAGTAGGAAGTACTGAATTTACTCAACAGCAATCTTACAGGTTATCAATAATAGTTTAATGATTTTACATGTCACTCTTTAGTTAGTAATATCATTTTAATTTGTTATGATTTTTATGAAAATTCAGATTTTAAAGGTTACATTGATATTTCAAGGTACTGTTCACTTCCTGTTATCAATGCTCTCAATGCAATTGCATCAACAATGAAAAATGATTCTGCAATCAGAGATGACTTTTTGGTTCGTCTTTTGGAATTATTTATTCATTTAGGTCTTCAAGTTCGTATACTCAGCGAAACAACAAAATCCAAGGTAATATCACTAAATCTAACATAATTAAGAAGTTTCAGGAAGTTTGCTTAGTTTATTAGTTGTTGCAATATTTTTCTATGGGCATAAAGTTCAACCTTTAAAACAAATAAGATAGATAGTTCAGAAGTTAATTATATCAAAAACTTGAATATACAAGTGTTAAATATGAAAGATTTATTTTTATTTAAAAGCTTATCACCTTTTTTTTCTGTGTAAGTATTTTTCATATAGAATGTTTATTTAGGCATCATCTTGTGCTGGTAATTTAGGTGTTTTGTTACCAATTATATCATCTCTAATTCATAACTTTCCAACTTTGTATAATCCTGCTCCTCGTCTACAAAAATTGTTTCGTGACTTTTGGATGTATATTGTATTGTTTGGCTTTGGAGTTGAAGGTTCTAGCTACTGGCCTCAGAATTGGTTTGAAGCTGTTAGAAAAATTGCATCCAAGTCCCCACTACTTCTTGGCACTGACCATTTGAGGGAACTGAACTATGGGCTTGCACTAAAGAATGAAGAAGTGTCTGAAGTAATCATTTTAAATTATATGCTATCCTTATAATAGTTTGTTATGCAGGTTTTTTCTGCTGTAGTATAATACTTCTTATAGAAAATTTATTTTTTTGGTTCTACAATATATTGTAATATTCTTTTTGTAGAAAATTAATTTAGTTTTTTTATTCTGAAAACATATAGTATAATACTTATGGTAGAAAATTAAATTACTTTTTTGGTTCTAACAAAATGTAAGTTGATATTACTATTCTTTTAGCTTTCAATTTTTACATCTGTGTAAATAAAGTGACCGATTTTACATCTATTTAAATAAATGATTTAATTATGCAGAGCATCTATAATAAAAAAAGTTCTATTCTGATCTGTTCAAACTAAATTTGGATTTCTCGTGTCAAAATATTTGCATTTCTTATTATTTCAGATATTCAGTTAGTTCAGATTTTTATCAGCAAAGAGAAGATCAACAATTTTAGAGGCTGAGATTTGACTTCATTTGATTAAGTTGAAGAAGTTGGAAAAGTATCCATTTGTGATGATTAATAACCTAATTGAATTTTGCCTTGTATTAATCATCTTGTTGTAGTAAACTTCTGATACCTTGGCTGAAAATCTAATGCTGAATATGAATGCTGATAGGTCAAACTTGTTTATGACAATCTTTAGAGATTTGTGATTTTCCATTCAACACTTACAGTTGCTGCTCAAAGTCTCTCTGTTAAGAGTTTTAATCAGGCATTGCAGATAAAGTTCATTTGCATAGAGTGTACAAACTAACCAGTTTAACTTTCTTTCCCATTTCATTTCCAGCCAATGGATTGCTTCACCTGATCATTCTGTTTTAACATAAATAACATCACTGCTAAACTTTTGTTACCATTCTTTTATATCTTTTTTTATATTTTTTAAATTCTGAGCATTTATTTCAGTGTGTTTCATGTTTTGAAACTTTTATTATTATTATTCTTTTGAATTTTGGAATTTTTTCAGATATTTAGAAGTGTATAGCAAAATGCATTGGCGGAGGAGGAAGGGGGGGGGGAGAATCCTAAAACAATAAACATACACATTTTATGGACGACTCCGCATGTAATTTTTTACCTTTAAGACTGAAAGTGAAAGCCTGCATCTCAGCATAGAGAATACATAAAATATATATATAACCTATAACATATATATATATATATATATATATATATATATATATATATATATATATATATATACAAATAGTATTGCGTACTAAGGTAAGCAATCTGACGTCATACTGAAATAGCCTGCTGCTAAGGGCTTCAGTAGATACATCGACTGACAAATAGCCTGACTTGCAGTGGAGTGCTGCTACATCGACTGAGGGTTTGGTATGGGGAAACAATCGTTTCATTCATCAATCTTCGTTTTTTCTTCTTTTTTAAAAAACACAATGCAGTGTAAGGTAAGCAGAAAAAGTGAGCAAATGCTTATCAAAATACGCTTTAGTAAGTGTGTGTGTGTATATATATATATATATATATATATATATATATATATATATATATATATATATATATATGTATATATATATATATATATATATATATATATATATATATATATATATATATATATATATATATATATATATATATATATATATATATATATATATATGTAAAACCTATTTCATTAATTTGATTCTTGTTTCATTTAAATCTAATATGCTGTTTTTATTTTATATTAATAGTGGCTAATTATTGGCTAGAAACTTTTGTCAGCTGCCACTAATGGTCCACTGTAACAGATGATTAAAGCTACAGTGTACCGGTTAAATTTCCTTTATCGGTCCTCTTAAATTCTGCTATAGGATGTTTGCTAAGCAGGCTCTTGTCATATTGTATAATGTTTCTCGTTGATTATAGTATGATGTTTTGGCAAACCTTCAACTGTTAATTTTCAAACCTTCAAACTTTTATTTCAAATCTATTATTGAAATCAATCATTCTCTGCATTTAATATTAAAGAAATTACATAATTTTTTCTCTCTTAACTTTATTTTGATCAATAACTAACTTGGTAGCATCTTCTTTAGTTATTCCTGCATCCATTCAAGCTTCAAATGCAATTTTAGCTGTTCACTATTACCCAGTACTATACCTAAACTCTATGTTTGCTATGTAAGAAATACTCTCATATTTTTTTGTCCTCTTATATAATCTTGAACTTCATTTATAAATACTGAGTCATTTATTTAATTCTGAATCATTTATATAATCCTGAATCATTTATATAGTCCTAAATCGATTATAAATCCTAAATCATTTATATAATCCTGAATGGGACACAGGTATCAAGATAACCGTTATCATCTTCAATCAGTTCTAAATGACAACACTCTATTTGAACAATGGAGTACTGAGATACACGCAAATCCATAGCATTCAATTTACTAAATAATTTTAAGCTTTGTAAACACAAAATTTTTTTAAACAATCCAAATATAATAATACCACAAAGTTGACTAACAAAAAGAAGAAAGCTTGAATTGATTGAATATAACATAGATAAGCTACACACACAAATTTGCTTATTTCTATATTCTGATTTCTCCTTCTAATTGATCTGTCTGAAAAATCCCTTACCTTTTGTAGGCAAAGGCTGAAACTGTAGTTAGCAAAAAACTTGTTTCATCTGATTTAATTATATATGGACATTCCATCTCTTGCACTAGGTGTTTTATTTCCCACCTAATTCATTTGTAAATTTTGCCTCGCTCAGTTTAACTCAAATAGTCAACTTTCCAATTTGTTTTCCAGACAACCCAAATCATTTACCTTCTCTACTCGACCTATCAGTGGCGTGCTGGCTCCAGAGGCCATGCGGGAATCCCGCTTGGGCCTATCAGTATTTATCCTAGAAGGGCCTTTTTTTTGAATTTTTTTACCCTTTACTGCATTCTGAAAATGATTCACAAATGATATTTATTTGCTTTATTTTTTATTTCAAAAGTTAAATTCTTTAACAAATCTCTGATTCGAACTGTTAAACTTCAAGCGCATATATGTTAGTGTTTTGCAACCGTTTGTAACTTTTGCCTCAAAACAAAGTCGATATTGGAAAAAATTATTTATCTTTACGTCACTCAAATTGCTAATTATATCAGTTGTTATACAGATAAAATTATTTAAGTTAGCCAATGATTATTATGAGAAATAATTTAGTTCAATTTTAAATTATGGAAAAATATTCATAATGATAAAATTTTTGTCAAATTAGACTGATGAATTGTTTTTTCATAAACAAAAATTGTAACGTTTTTAAATATAAATAATTTGTGTGAGCTTTTATAAAATTGCTCTTATTGTATGTTCTACAGATATTTAAAAAGTAGTAAAAAGTTAATTATTTTTTCTATATATAGGAATAAATAAATAAAGCATTTTATGTCTATTTGAAAGTAATCCGGATTCATTCATTTCAGGGACCATAAATACATGGAAACTAATATTTAACATTATATAATTTAGTAACAGCTTTTTTATTCAAAGAACATATTTGTAAAATCGTGTTTTTTGTAGTTATAGCTTCTCTTTTTTTTTTTTTAAGATTTGACATAGAATGGAAAATCTTAAAAATTGTATACATTCAATTTAAACTTCAAGTTGATAAGACGGTAGAGACTTCTTGGGGCACAAAAAGAAAAAAAAAATGTTGTACCATTATTTTTGTAATGCTAATAAACACTTCCTCTTTTACTTTACAAATAACACTTGTTCTTTATAAATAATTTTTTATCACTTCACTACGGCTCAGGGTGTTCAATAAAACACGTTTATTTTCGTGAGCGAAGATTTACAAATATTTATAATCTGTCAATCTTTAAATTAATAGTTATTAAAGTAATTTTATATCTATATAATTTAATAATACGACTAAATAATGGTACAGTTATTTAGCCGTATTACTAAAACATAATATAAGTTTTCTTTTTAATAATAAAAGAATAAAAATAAGAAAAGAAAAAAAAAAGACAAGAAATTTTTTGTTACTTCAGATATATACATGTTGCTGTAAAGGAAAACTCGTAAAAGTTTATGAAGTCATCGAGTACCTCTTTAAATGATTAAATAAAATTTCATTTTTATAAATACTCAAAAGTGGTTAAACAATACAGTCAGTGATACACATAAATATTTTAGTATAAGTTTTAATGTTAAGTTTAATACATGTTGATAAAATTGTTGGTATTAAGTATGAGGTGTTTTAATTTATTTTTCAAGTTGGCAGCATTATTTAATACTTTAAGTTCTATATTTTTGGATATGATTTTGTTATATAGGTACGGACCCCGGTAAGAAATAGAAAACCGTGAGAACTTTGATGTTTTTTTGGGCAGTGTGAAGTTGCCTGTTGCTCTTGTTATATACCTATTAGAGTTTACTTGAAAGAAGTTATCTAAAAAATGTGATGGGACTAGTCCAAGTTTGTATTTAAGCATAAATAGTACATTTTGGTAGATGTTATTTGGTAAACATTTAGTGCATTCAAGTTTTTTAGTAAGGGTTCAGCGTAGGTGGGTGGTTATCTTTATTATAAACTAATCTTGATGCATGTTTTGACTTATGTAGATAGTACTCAATTTGGATTTGTGGAATGAAACAATATGTTTCATCCCACAAATGAAACAAAACAAAATAAATTTTTGGAATGAAACAATATGTATTTTGTTTTTTGTGTATTTAGTGATAACTTATCTAATTTTAACCATAAATTTGATCTTTTAAGCTCTTTGTTAATACATTCATAAAGGTCTTTGGTTGAGTTAGATGAATAAAATAAGTTTGTGCCATCTGCAAACATAATTACATCATTTTTATTTAAATATATTTACAAATGTGGGCCTTCAAATCAAGCATATTTGGCAAAATCCCTCATATATGGGCCTTTTGGAGCCAGAACGCCCCTGTGACCTATGTCTTGTTTCTGATCCTAGTTAGTGCTCAGTTTCTCCACATTCACCCTTTGGTGCTTCTGATCACGGTTTAATCTCTCTAAAACTATTATCTCATTCTTCTTCATCATCAGAATCTCCTTATCATCATACCTCTTACAACTACCTTAAAGCTGACTGGGGATCTTTCATGGCTGAAATAATCGCTGAATGAGATTAGCAGCAAGATTAGTAATTGTCTTTTTTTAATCTTTTTGCCAAAATGGTCTTTATTTAAGACATTCAGATTTGACAAGTACTTCATGAGATGAATTAAATGAATGTTTCTTCTTCCAATTATTCTATGTTCAAATATCTGTTGAACAAGTTGACTTTTTAGGTGTATTAGCTTCATGAAGGTTTTTTCTTGTAAATTTAATCACAATTTTAGAATACAAATAATCAGCATTTCTTTTTAAAATAGTATTAATTACAAATTTTAATGATTTTAAAGCAGCACAGAGAGTCATTTATGACATCAAGCTTGTTTTTAGTTAGAAGAAAATCAATATTCATACCAGTTGGAGCTATTTTTACTTCTAATTGCACCGACAAAACGCGTTCAAGCATATCAATAGTACTACTTCATCTTGTCCTTGAATCACAAATCAAAGCTTTTTTTATTCCAAATTTTTCAATTATATTTGGTTGAAGTTCATCATCTTTACTTCAGTCCCATCTTCATCATCACTATAACCTTGATCATAATCTACAGCATATCACATTAACAGAGTTATTATCAGAATCTACAGCATATCGCCATTAACAGAGTTATTATCAGAACCATGTGCATCAACTTTGTTTTTTGTAAAGAGCACATCAATCACAAATAGATGAATAGCATGGTTGTAATACATTTGATATTCAGACTTAGTGTCATGGCCAATTTTTTTCATTAAGCTAGCTCCATCAGTAACAGAAGCTACAATGTCTTTGTCTAAATTTAAATCAAATGAATTAAGCTTATTACTGATCATTTTAATGGTTTTTTTTGCTGACATTGTAACTTAGATTCTAAACATTTCAATTAATTAAAATCCTTCATTATGATGTAAATTTAAGTTCTTCTGTTTTTTATTAAAGTATGCTCATCAAATGTAAGACTTAATTTGTGTTTACCTTCAAGTTTCTTTTTCAAAGAACTTATAACTTGTTTCTTTACTAACCTAAAGTTTTTAATGACTAGATCGTAAATTGTTTGAGGATTTTTTGAGGATCAGGAAAGCTGATTCCATCAATAGCCGGTAGTCAACTCAAAATTTCAGGTAGAGTTTTATGGCCATCCTTGGAAAAACTTTCAATGCGATATTTTAGCAGCAGGAATGTTTGCTGCAGCCTCAGGTGCAGAGCTATTACATTTAAGAATTTCAAATTTGTATTTTGTTGTGCTGTTATTATTGAGTCAAGTGTTTTAAGAATAATTTTACAGAGTTTTCACTGTGAACTCTGTAATTCTTTGGAAAATTCGAAATCGCCCCAGATTTTAGAACTTTTATTAGTCAAAAGCTATATTAACTAGTCTTTACTATTTACTAGTTTTAATTTGGAAATCTTAATGATCTATTTTATGGATATCACCATGGGATCTGTTTAACAATTAAAAATATGTAACACATACACACATAACTATTTTAATTTTATAACTTAAAAGTAACATTCTAAATCATTTGTTTACGTATTCCTATTGTGACTTAAACTTTAAAAGCTTTTGAAAAAAATTTTCCTACTCCCAAAACAAATCTTATAAACAACAGGTTTATGTAACCTGGATAGAATATGAGTTATTTAAAAATTGGTTTAAGTGAAAAGCAATACAATTAATATTAAAATTTTTTGAGGAAAATAACATAAACTTAAGATGGTTGTTGTTTTTTTAGGGTGATGTAAGTCAACTTCGTGTTTCGCTATTAGAAAATATCGGCCATGTTCAAGATTTTCAACCATTATTAAATAGACTACAGTTTGGTGCTACTGCTTTTTTATACAGTGTTTATCTATTGGAAAATCTTCGAGTTACTATAGACAGCTGTGCGGTGCAGAATTTATTTGAATATTTGCAAGATCGTGCTATTCAAAAAGATAAGAACGGTATAAATCATTGTTTTTTTAATTTTATTATTTGTGCATAAAAAAGTTCAAAATGGGGACAAGTCTTGACAAAATGGGGATAAGTCCTCATTTTTAAAATCAATTTTAGAAACTGTTTTTGAGTATAATTAAGTGAAACAAAACACAATCAACTTGATACTTAAATATAATCTTTATCATAAATTTATTCTAAATAAATTTGTTACTATTTTAATGTTAATTTATGAAATTTGAACAATAATAGTATGTTTAAGTAAACTTATTTAGTATATATATTTTATAATTATTATTTAGTGTGTGTATATATATATATATATATATATATATATATATATATATATATATATATATATATATATATATATATGTATATATATATATATATATATATATATATATATATATATATATATATATATATATATATATATATATATATATATGTATATATATTTAAAAAAAATATTTTATCTAAAAAAAATATATATTCAATATATTATTTTAATAATAATATAGTAATATATAATAATTGCTGTATTATTTCTTGTAAGTTAGTGGCACAAATTGTAATATATGAATGTTTTATAATTGATTTTAAAATAACTAAATGTGCATTTGCGCTTTTTTCAACAATATGATTCTTAAAAATTTAAATTTATTGAAATTCTTATTTTGTGTAACATAAGTAATTTTTAGAGTTTCATAAAATGTTTGTCTTCTTAATATTTACTTTTTTTTTTTTTGTTTTTTTTTTTTTTGTAAATTCATCTCCTCAAGACCATGAAGGCCACTAAAGTTGAGAAGGCTACTTAAATTGTTGTTACAACCCTCTCTCAACTCTATAACTCCGAAACACGAACCTTGACAAACAAAGCTTTATGCGCAGATACTATTAAATTGTTATAAAAGAAAAATGATTGCACATTTTATAAATCTGCTCATCAAAATCATAATATAGTAGATTTCATTAAATGAAATTTTTATTAAGTATTCAGTTTAAAATTTTTTAATATTTTATAAAAATTGTTTTCATATTTAAAAAAAGCTCAAAATTAATTAAATTCAATTATTTGGATGTTACCAAACTTCCTTTTTTTAGTTAAATAAAAATGTGTGCTAGTGTGAGTTATAATATTACTTACATTTTTAACAGTTATTTTACAATTAGCATTAGTAATTTGAATGTTAATTATTTGTGAGTTTTCATTTAAAAAAATCAATTGATTTTATTTAAAACAATTATTTTGAAAAGAATAAAAAATCGTTAATTTTTAAGCATCAAGTTATTGTATGTTCAGTCATAAAGTAATATTACTATAAGATAAAATCTTAAATGAAAAAAAAATTAAAAATTTTGATTAAAAAAAAAACAATAGTCAATCAATTCCATGTGTTAGCCAGTCAAATTGGCTGAACAATATATCGAAATATATGTACATATATATTCCTATATTTATGTATATATGTACATATATATATATAAAAGAAAGTTTAACAAAAGCCAGCTGGGTGAAAGAAAAAAAAAGTTGAACTAACATACCCTAAGATAGAGTTACTGATACACAGCCGGTTTTGATTTACTATATTTAAAATGAATGCCTTTTATAAGTGTAATCCAACAATTTTTCATACTTTTTTCTTTTTGTTAAATAATTTTAGCTGAGTTTTAATTATTTTTTGTCAACACCATGACTATTAATTATGTTTTGGTGAGCCAAATTTGTTGATCATATTTTGTGAACTCAAAACATTTGGATCTGATCACACCATTAAAGTTTTTAAAACAAGAGCAAAAATAGAGTAATAAAAAGTAAAAAAAAATATCGTTTTGAACTATCATTAAAATTGTTATACAATTCTATTAACAACAAAAATCCTTACAATCATCACAATTAAAAAACAAAGACTTTCCAGTTATACAGGACTCATGGGCCGAAAGGTGACACTTGAATGTGTACTGAATCCAGAATTCTCTGCTTTACTTTTTAAAAAATTTTTAACACAAATTGAACAAAAAAACTCTATTTCTACAATTCAGCTTTTTTTTATAAACTTCTTAAGTATAAACTTCTTTTACTAGTTGCATTTTTACTCATCTTTATATTATCTTTATTTAACTTTTTTTTCTTTCATTGATTTCTAACTTTTTTTTTTTACAGGGATTTTTTTTTTCTAAATAAAATTTGCCAAACGTTTTTGCTATTTATAAATGTTGCCGTCAGAGCCGGATATTTCTGGAATGCTGGATAATTTTCTCAACTTTTTGTTTTTATGGATATCTAAATTGTTTCCATGTAATATATTTGTTTTTTAAGATTTTTCACTCATCACTCATACAAAAATTAAGAAAGGTTTGAAAAAAATTGGTAACAATTCAGCTAAAAGAAAAATTAGGAGGAAAATAAGGGAAAATATATTCCAGATTTTTTCCAGATATTTAACTGAAACAATTTTCTGGATTTTTAAAAATTATGATAATATATGTTTTAAGCTTTTTTTTTTTTTAACACATTCCAATTTGGTGAATCTGTCAGTATTGATGTTGTTCTATTTCTTTTAATTAAAACTCTTTTTCTTAGTTCAGCTTTTTTGAATGATCTTAAATCTACAGGTGATAAAACTACAGTTGACTCTAAAGTCATTATCATATCATTATTGACTCATTATTGTATACACATTATTATTTTCTGAATTTAAAACATTGCAATGTGACTCTAAATTTTTGAACAACCAGCTTCTAGTATATCTGATGTTGTAAAGTCAACATCTGTTACAATATTTGCATTACACTATCCATAGCAGAGCATGGTCTTAAATTTGGTCTGTCTGTACTATAGGCCATCATAAAATCATGTTTTCTGAAATTGTCTTAACATTAAGTGAGAAAATTTATGTTTTTTTAAAACAAGCTTTGATATTATCAACCCTCGGATTTAGGGTCAGCATTTGGCAATGTCGACTTAACTGCTGACCTGAAAGTGTTTGAATTCGGAAAAGTTTGCCGATTTCATTTTAATCATTTATGGTTCAACCTTTGTATCAAAGGTATACTATAAATAGTCATTTTGGAATTTTGCATTTTCATCCATGAATCACAAGCTATATTTGTGTTTTTGTGCTCCAAACACACTGTGTTGTAAGGGTTGCAGTTTGTGTCTGCAATGAGGAGGAAAAGAACAGACTGATACCCCATTTTCTTTTAAGTAGTCTAAAGCTTCCATTGAAAGGTGAGAATCTTGATTGTCTAATAGCAACAAAACAGGTCTTTCTTTTGTACTACATATTTGACAAAATGATGGGAAAACTGCAAAAAATTGAACTTGGGTCATCCAACCAGATGGCTTTGCAGCTCCTGCACTTCCACAAGGAGCACCATTTAAAAAAATATGCTTTATATTTCACACAAGGTAAAATAAAAAAAAGGGGATTTGAATTTCCACTAGCAGAAACACCAACTGCCACATTTACTAAATTGCCTATCTTAGCAGAAGTAACACAACCAATTAGTTTAAAACCTTTTTGTACTACAATATGATCTGGAGTTAGTACTTTCTAGCTTTAAATGATTAAAAATAGTTTGCAAATTATTGTAAAATTTTAAACATTTGTTGAATTGAAGCTGGAAACATGTGCTTGACTTATATGTACATACATACATACATACATACATACATACATACATACATACATACATACATACATACATACATACATACATACATACATACATACATACTTACATACATACATACATACATACATACATACATACATACATACATACATACATACATACATACATACATACATACATACATATATACATGCATACATACATTTTAATCAATTTTATTTTGCATCTTTAGAAATAAAAATCAAGTTTTTAATAAATTTTAATTAATTATATTCTATTTTCACTATTATATACAATATTTTATGTACCATTTTTTATATCATTAAAAAAAAAAACATTTTTAAACATTTTTTTCAGATTTTTTTTTTGTTTTTGGAAAAAGTGCTTGAAAAAGTTGTCATTTTATAAATTAATTTAGAAAATGATTTAAGTTTCATTTGACTACTATATATATAGTGTGTGTGTGTATGTATATATATATATATATATATATATATATATATATATATATATATATATATATATATATATATATATATATATATATATATATATATATATATATATATATATATATATATATATATATATATGTATATATATATATATATATATATATATATATATATATATATATATATATATATATATAAGTATAACTAAGTATAATTTATTATATATATATATATATATATATATATATATATATATACATATATATATATATATATATATATATATATATATATGTATATGTATATATATATATATATATATATATATATATATATATATATATATATATATATATATATAATAAATTAGAAAAATAAGTTTTTCTACTTTGTCAAGTTGATTGATAATCAAAGGATGGCAACAATTATAAATTTTTAATATGTATCAAGTCCGTTTTACAAAGTTTTAGGCGTTAAATAGAAATAATCAGAAGTTGTTGTTTTATTATTTAATGCAGAAAATATATTACAATTTTATGTGAATTTTTTAACCATATTATAGAAAATTTTAAAATTTTCTAGTTTGAATAATAAATCTAAAGAAGGTCATGCCATAGCCATTTGCAAGAATCCTAAATTATTCACATGTTATTTATGATCAAAACAAAATGCACTTAAGAAGAATTTATGATCAAAACAAAATGCACTTATGAAGAGCAAATGAAGAAGTTAGTGTTAAAAAGTAATAAATTTGAATTCAAAAATTTTTTTCTTGTGTGCATGAATTGCTTTTAATTAAAATTCCTTGTTTTTTTATACCTAGAAATGACCCTGTAAAAAAATAAAAAGTCATTTTTAGACAGCTTAAAAAGACCTTGAAATGAACTTAAAAATTATCAAAGTCCTGCTTAGAATTGTATTATAATAACATAAGCATAGTATAACAAGAAAGCCATAACATTTATATCTGTCAAATATATTTATTTATCAATAAAACCTAATTTATCAGTGTTTTTATGTTAAGATCAAGTTTGTAAGTTTTAAATTTAATTTAAAAATGAGCATAGATTCATGGTTTAACTAATGTCTTGTCATAAGTGTATTTTTTTCCTATGGATTTTTGATATAGCGGATATTTATTCAAAACATTCTTTAATGCACCTAGAAGTATGCTGATGATGTATGAACTGAAATTTATACTTAAATTATTTTAATATAATTAATATATTATTATATTATAATAAATTATATATGAAATTAATACTTTAAAGTTGCTATCTGGGTTAGAGATTGAGAAAAACAAATATTTTGAACATATGATTGCAAAACAAATATTTTGAACATGTGATTGCAAAGTTGATAATAATGGAACCAAGCAATTCAATATAATAAGCATTAAAGATGCCAAAAATAATAAAAACTCATGCATATAATAATAATATAAGTAATAATATTTTTTGCATAACAAAAAAAGACTAAATTAAATTCAGATTTGATCAGAAATAACATCAAAAAGAGTGTTGTCTTTACGTGTTTATATTGTTTATATTTTTTTTTTTACTAGATAATAGTCTTTTTATTGACTACTTTTTTTTTTTAAATAATCACTTTTTTTGGAAACAACATTGTAAGTTTCCTTGTGCGTTGGATCATTGTTAAATTTAATTATTTAATGATTTATTTTAAAGGCTCAACCCTGTTCTTGCGAGTTTTTAGCTGCCATGTGTCAGGAAAAATGTATAATTTGATATGTTTTATTTTGTTTTATTTTTAACTAGAGAGTAATTTATTTATAAAATTTTTTTAAAGATGTTTGGAGATGCATGAGACTCACATTTGATAAAATATTTGCAAAATATCTTAATTTAATGGTGCAAAAACCACGATGTGCTGAACGAGAGAAGGAACTTGAAAAGCATGCACAATATTTTTTAGTTATGTTTAATCATACCCAAGAAAAAATTCGAAGGGTTGCTGACAAATATTTTTCACTTCTTGTTGACAAGTATTATTGATTTATAAATTACTAATATTTTATTGTATCATCATTATCATCATCATCATCATCATCATCATCATCATCATCATCATCATCATCATCATCATCATCATCATCATCATCATCATCATCATCATCATCATCGTTATAATTTATAGTATTGTTGTTTTTGCATCTGTTTCTTTAATTGATTGCTTTAGATGATTTACCTTATTTTAATTAGTTTAGACAATTTTTCTTACTTTGATGAGTGAAGACACTTTTTTTTACTATTACTATTTTGAGCAACTTTTTGCTAAATTTAGCTTTTTTGAGTTTCCTACTTGTTGTTGTTGCAACACATTCACACATGCAGATATGCAACACTTATTGTTGCATATCTGCATGCGCGACTGATGTGCAACACTTATTGTTGCATATCTATGATTAATGTTACAACCTATTCTTTATCTCATTTCATTTCTTGTCTCATTTTTTTTTTAAAAGAAGTAACATTATCTGATTATTTATAGATACATTTGTTGTTCTTTTCAGACATAGAATGTTATCCTTTTTTATAAGTCTTTTTTTCTTTCTAAAGTCGGCACTCCATCTGCGGCTGCACTGAAACGCTTGTTCACATCTTCATTTAAAATGAGCCATTCATTTTCTTCAATGTTTATCCAATAATATCCTATATGAATGTAAAAAAATTTTTCTTATACTCTAAGATGCTATTTCATTACTGTAATTGTTATTTATAGCAATTTTACTTATATTATATTTATATTTATGTTTTTTTCACCATTATATTTAGATTTCCACATCTTCTTTGGAATCAAGTTGTACTAAAAACTATGCTTGATCTTTTGCATATACTATGTCATAGAACTAAAGCAATGGTAAGGATTGTGTTACAAATAACATAAATAAATGAGTATGCAATTTATATTATGCGAGAAACTTTATGTAACATGAAGGTTAAGTTATTAGTATGTAGTTAGTTATATAAGAGATATATAAATTATATGAAATAGCATGTAAGAAATATTAAATGATTTTTCTGTGAGTGAATTGTTGAGAGTGGATTTGGCTTAGTCTTCACAAGAAAATCTAATTGCAAAAATTTGTTAAATATGCAAGAAACACAATAAAATATATAAGAAATACAATGCAATAAGAATTATGAAAGGTTGTTTAGTTTATAATTATATGTAACTATTTATTTTATATATCGTGATATATATTAATAGTTTTTAAAAGATGAAATCTTTGTTTAATTTTGTTTTGTTTAGGAGAACCAACTAATTTCAAAGCTAATCAATGTTCCTCATAGTAGCTTAACACTAAAGTTATCTCAAGAACGCACTGTTCGAGAGCAAATAGTTAAAGATTTTACAGAAAGGTGTAAAGGAATTGTGCAAGAGGCATTTAAATGGGCAAGTGAGGCCACATGGTCATTGTTTCAGGTAAAATAAACTTTACATAATTAAAATACTATGAATTTAAAGGGACTACCAAGTCCAGAGACATGTTGTGTTCATATTCAAGAGAATGTTAAAAAAAAAATCTGAGCAAATTTTTTTTGATTAAAACTTATTTATAAATGTATACCAAAAAAAACAAATCTTGTTGTTTTAGTCGAAACTCTACCTCCATTTTCTGCGGTATTTTGAGTATTTAAAATAAACATGATTATCCAGACGCATTATACAGACTTGATAATTTATTCAAGCGTGTTTAATTCATAGGAGTTTTAGTGCATGACGTCATAGATTTTTTTTTGTTTGTTTAAAACACCGATTGTTATTTTTTACATACAATTTCCAAATCATATTCATTTTTATTATATTTTAAAGTTCTAAAATGTGTTTGTAAAAAAATTAAAAACAAAATAGTATTTTATTTGCGCAACTTTTTTTAAATAATCGTCTAGACCACGTGTATTTTGATTTATTTTGTTATAAGTTTTTCTTTCAAAATATTAGATAAAATAATTTTCAACCTAAATAATAATGCACTTTTATTAATTTACTTTGTAAATATTAAAAAAAAAATTATTAATGCATTTTTTCTCTGATTTTCAAAAATGTATTTTTTGGTATTGAGGTGATCTTATTTCATTATTTATATTTCCATTATTATAACATCCAATATATATTATGGCGGGGGCTTAAAAATTAAAAAATTAATATATATTAATTTTTATTTTACAGACATAAATGGAAACATAATTAACTTGAATGTTCTTGAAACATCTTGCGGAAGAATAAAAAGAATATTCGCGAACACTAAAAACCTGCCAAATTTGCGAACAAACTAATTTTATTGGTTCAAAAAATACACTGACTAAGCAAAATGAAGTTCTAGAGTATTCTGTTGAAATATTTTAGGAATTGTATTATTTATGATTTGTTGCATTTTGAGATATCTAGCATAAATTTTTTTAAGAATATATTATCAAATGAACTATTACTTTAATATTATGGCTCATTCTCGGAGCCACATCTGTAAAGCCGTAAAACTTTTAAACTATTATCATTTGTTTACAAAAATAAATGTTTTATAATATATATTTTTTAAATTGTCAAAATTTTGAAAGTTAATTACAAATTATATATTTTATTAGTATATTCTTAATTTTTATATCTTTTCTTAGTGCTTGGTTTAATTAATTGTTCGTTATATTTGTAAAAAGCTAAAGAACAATTAATAAAATAAACTTTTAATAAAATAAGTAACTATAGTTAGCTATTTTAGTAAAATTTAATAGTAAAATTTTTAAAGAATTTCTAGAACATTTCCAATGACGTCATGCACTAAAACTCCTATGAATTAAACGCGCTTGAATAAATTATCATGTCTGTATAATGCGCCTGGAAAATTGCGTTTATTTTACATACTTAAAATACCACAGAAAAAAAAGAGAAGGCGAGCTCGACTAAAACAACAAGATTTGTTTTTCTTGGTATCCATTTATTAATAAGTTTTATTCAAAAAAAATTTGCTCAGACTTTTTTTTTTTAACATTCTCTTTAATATGAACATAACATGTCTCGGGACTTGGTAGTTCCTTTAAGCAATAGTTTTTATGATTTTAGTATTTTTTTTATTTTCTTGATTCAAAATTTTTTTTTTTTTTTTAACAGCAATATATAATTGATAAAGAAGATGAAGATTGTCTAGTACATTATGGTATCAGTTTACTCAGCGAAGTGATGTCTCATTTTGAGAAAGAATCTATTTCAGATTTAAAATATCCTGGATTAAATTCAAAAATTTTTCGATCAGGAGTTCAAATACGAAGTAGATACTTAGGCGAGGTTCAAAATTTTTCAAATATTCCTTTTCTCTGACTTCTTGATTGTTTTTTAATTGTGAAGTAAAATTTAAAATTACACTTTTTATTCGCGAAAAAAACTTCAACTCTTTGCCGTAAAGTAATTTTATATCATAAAATAGTGTTCTTTGTACCATTAAAAACCAGATAAAAGTAATTACAGTATCAGTTAACACAAAATAGTATAATTTCTATTTGTATTTCTTACCAAACATAATTTTTGTTTCAAAGGCTGTGTAGCATTATGGTCATATAACAGTATATGGCCATAATGTATCAATCACTTGGCAGGGCAACCAGTCATTCATCATTTGTACACAAATTTGAAAATAAAGTACAGAATGATAAAATATTTTTTATTCTAAAACCTTTTTTTTCAGTAATGGCTTTCAACTTTTTTGCTTCATGTAAGCCCGTGATTTTTATGTTATGATTAGTAACACTTGGTTAGGGATTGTCGATAAATTATGCAACACTAATTATGCAACACTCTATTTATTTTAAAATACAGTCAGAAATCTCAAGCTCTTTCATGCAGTGATTTTTATGCAATATATATATATATATATATATATATATATATATATATATATATATATATATATATATATATATATATATATATATATATATATATATATATATATATATATATATATATATGAACAACCCTAGTTTATATATATGTATATATATATATATATATATATATAATTATATACATATATATATATATATATATATATATATATATATATATATATATATATATATATATATATATATATTATATATGTATATATATATATATATAAATATATATGTATATATGTATATAATTATATATATATATATATATGTATATATATGTATATATATATATGTATATATACATATATATATATAAATATATGTATATATATATATATATATATATATATATATATTATAATATGTGAGAAACTTTATGTAACATGAAGGTTAAGTTTTTAGTATGTAAGTTAGTTATATAAGAGATATATATATATATATATATATATATATATATATATATATATATATATATATATATATATACATATACATATACATATACATATACATATACATATATATAAGTATATATATATATATATATATATATATATATATATATATATATATATATATATATATATATATATATATATATATATACATATACATATACATATACATATACATATATTTAACTATTATTTGCATATCCTTTCAAAAAAGTTCATTGCGCCATTGAAAAATTGATTTTGACATAAGTGCTACTATGTATTCAAATGTTTTTGTAATCTAATAATCATGTAATACAATAAATTTTCAATCCAACAATGACTCAGACCGTTGACCTTGCTCTTGCTTGTTACACACAAGGAATCAATGGTGCAATTTGTCTTTATTTTTGCATGATGAATAAATTTCCTCCATTACTTTGATTGCATTTTCTGCGAATTGATTACTTCTGGGTATCTGTAGTATGGATGGCTCTCACTTCCAGTGATTTTTCAAAGAGCTTGAAGCCATTTTATATGGATTCAGTAATTCAGCCAAGTTATTAAAGTTGTTTTCGTTGTACAGTTGGTCTGTAAACCAATGGTCTGCCCAACCATACCATATAAATCGACATACTCTCTGCAGAACTGTCCTTGTTGAAGGAATTAAAATGAAGGCTAGGATCGCTAATATAGCTCTAGAGTTTCACCCGGCATTGCTGATGTCGAGTATTTTCCGAAACCTGATCAATGGAAAATGTCCCTTTTCCTCAAAAAATCGGAACACTCAAGTGAGACTTCTGTTCTGTTATCAAACTGTGTTTTCAGTTGTTTGTACTCCTTTAACAGTTGAGATATAAATGGATATTCAATGTTTGTGTTTTACTTCCAAGTTTTTCATCCATCGCCAAACGGAGGGTTATATCTAATACATGGTGTTGACAACTAATAAACTGAGGTTTGTTGATGCATTTCTCTGTGAACATTCGTTGCAATATTACAACAACACCATTCTTTTTTCCAGTGTTAACGCTGGTGGTCTCTGCAACAATCATCTGTATTGAATTCCATAGGTAAAATTTATCGAAGACTTTATAAATTCCTTGAGCAATAGTTAAAGCCCTGCCATCTATCATTTTTATTGATGACCACTTGATAATCCATTCTGTCGATGTGCTTGCCAGCAAAGTGTAAGGATCAACTTTCCATATACAACTTTTCAATCATTTCTTCCTTCAGCTTGATTGCCTCTTTGATTGTTGACTTGTAAATAGTTGATTGATATGGAGTTGAGATGTCAATGCCTTCACAAGCCAATTGCTTGCATATGTTAGCGGCTTTGTTTGCTGATACTCTTGTGCAGGTCACCAAGTTGATTGCAACTTTGCTTTTATGATATTTTCTGCTTGGTGTAGGAGTTGTGTCATCTTCTTCTTCATTGTTTTCATATTCATTGTCGTCAGCCTCAGAGTCAGAATCACTAAAACCAGGATAGTAAGATGATGAGTTGGATGGATCATTAGAAAGTTATTGTCTTTTAGAGGAATGGATCATTTCTTTACTGGCCGCTTGGCCTGTAGAGTATCCCACTGTTCCTTTGCTTTCCACTTGGAGATAGTACAATCGCTTGTTTTCGGAAGATAACCATGTTCCATCCACTTTAGTATTATCAAAATTTTCATCAAGGGGTTCGTAGCTTTCCTACTTAATACATTCATCATATCATTTCAGTATTTTATCAAGCTTTGCTTGTATAACTTGATCAGTTTCTAAAATATTTTAAATTGTTCTAGAATGTTCTTAATTGTTCCAGAATGTTTTAAGTTGTTCTAGAATGTTCTAAAGTCTACTAAAACATTCTGTTATTTTCCAAAATATTCTAAAGTTCTAAACACTTCTAATTTATACAAGTTTTAAATGCAGGAAAGCCACATGTATTAGTAGTAGCTCTAACAAGATTAAATAAATGACAAACGTAATTTGAATTGCAGGGTGACCTTTTTTTACAACCAAGAGGAATTGAACATGTTTTCAATGTTTTTTAATAAAAGTTCATTGATTTATGACACAGGAATTTTTTTTAATTTATAACCCTAATATATATATATATATATATATATATATATATATATATATATATATATATATATATATATATATATATATATATATATATATATGTAATTTAAACAAATTTAAAATGCTCAATAGACGAGTTTAAAATTTAAAATGTTCAAAGAAATTTAAAATGTTTAATTAGAGTGCTCAATGTTCTCAAAGGAACAGAGCAATTATAAAGTAGTAGAAAATCACTTAGCAAAAATTTAACACTGTGTTTCATTAATAAAGACTCATCAGAAATGCATTTCTAATACCCACATATTTAATAAATATATTAAATACTCACATATTTATTAAATTAATCAAATACCCACATATTTATTAAATAAATAAAATACCCACATATTTATTAAATTAATCAAATACCCACATATTTATTAAATTAATCAAATACCCACATATTTATTAAATGAATCAAATATCCACATATTTATTAAATGAATCAAATACCCACATATTTATTAAATTAATCAAATACCCACATTTTTATTATATTAATCAAATACCCACATATTTATTAAATGAATCAAATATCCACATATTTATTAAATGAATCAAATACCCACATATTTATTAAATTAATCAAATACCCACATTTTTATTATATTAATCAAATACCCACATATTTATTAAATTAATCAAATACCCACATTTATTAAATTAATCAAATACCCACATATTTATTAAATGAATTATTAAAATTTTTATTAAATAAAGTTTAAATAAAGTAAAAGTTAAAAGTTATAATAAAAAATATTTTTTAATTTTTAATTTATTAGTATTCAAAATAGGTTTCAAAAAATTTCAAAATAAAGATAAGGAAATAAATTTTTTTTTTCCTTATTTTTATTTTGAAATTTATTTGAAGTTTTATGAAATCTATTCTTATCTTAAATAAAATTTTTGCTGTTTTTTAATACATATATTATTTATGTATGATGATGAAAAATGTTTAAATTAACAAATTGCATAATGATGTTAAATATTAACATAAGACAAATAAATTTTTTTTGTCTTTTCCACAGGTGATTGGGCTACATAAAGCATTTTCAACAATGGACACAGGAAATAGTAATGATATGCTGATTGACATGTTATGCAAAGAATTTAAAGGTTTACAGGAAGGATTACATGATAATTATGCAGTTGTTATGTATAGAGCCACAGCCTGCTTAGTCTCATCTAAATGTAAATTTATTAAAATTCCTTTTTAAAAATTTAATATTTTAAAAATAATACAATTGTTAGAATAATTTTTGTTACCTTATGAAAATACCTCTTAAAATAAAGTATAATTAATAACATTATTAATTATTCTTTATAACTCTTATGAATAAAATATAATATGAATAAAATACGATAAAATCTAGTTTATGAATAAAAAATAATAAAATCTAGTTATGAGTATCAAAAATTAATTTTCAAAATTTTAGTAACAAATAATTATTTGCTTCACTGCATATGCTGGATGCCATCAATACTGTATACTAATGAATCACTACAAATAGCTATTGCTTGCTGGGACTGGCTGTTTGCAACCAGAGCTGACATAGAAGTTCAGGTTAGTTTTTGCTATCTATATAATTTGATCTTTAAACAGCTGACCATAAATAATAAGAAAGTAATTTATTTTTGTTTTCATTTTAGTAAAGTTTCTTTTAAAATAATCAAAGAATTGATGTAAATCTTGTAGGTCAGTGAAGTTTTGACAACCACTCACACACATTTTGGGATGATAAAGTCATTTCTTAATTAAATTCTTCCACAGCCTGTGGTCCAGACAACATGCCCTTCATAGTCTTACAAAAATGTTTTCCAGAATTTTTTTATTCTTTATAAGCTAACTAACTTGTTTTCCTGCCTTCTGGAAAATGGCATCTGTGGTTCTTATTTTAAAAAATTTTGGAGAACATTCTCACCCTTCCAACTATTGTCCGTTATTAGTCTTCTCTCTATTATTACCAAGGTCTTTAATTAACAAATTTATAACACCCCATCTTGAGTATAACACCCCATCTTGAGTCTAATACTTACACTTTGATCAGTAGGGTTTTCAATCTTCTTATTCTATGACTTGCTGATTCTTCTATCAATCATTTCCTTGCTCTTCTATGACTGACTTGCTGATTCTTCTATCAACCATTTCCTTGCTCTTCTATGACTGACTTGCTGATTCTTCTATCAACTATTTCCTTGCTCCTTTTTTTATCTTCTTATTCTTTGACTGACTTGCTGATTCTTCTATCAACCATTTCCTTGCTCTTTAACTCTATTCTTTGTTTTCTAGTAACTCCCAACTTGATAGTGATTGCTTGCTGCCTTGTTGCGAGTGAATTATATTTTTAAAAATACTTCATTAATTAGAAGAAGAAAAAAAAGAAAATTGTTTCAAGTTTTATAGAGAAAATGTTTTTTGGTTAATTCAAAAATAATTCCTTTTGTTAAGTTTAAGTTATCTTTTGTATTTTTACAAAATAAACTTGTCAAATTAACTTTAATTCAGGGCCACTTTAATTCATTAAATAGCACATTTTGGATTTAATGTAATGGCTTGTTTTAATAAAATTTTACTAAACTCAGACTGAATTATACTGATTTTTAAGGGCTTATATATTTAACAGGGTGAAAGTATCTTGAATTATATTGATTTTTAAGAGCTTATATATTTAACAGGGTGAAAGTATCTTGAATTATATTGATTTTTAAGAGCTTATATATTTAACACGGTGAAAGTATCTTGAATTATTCTGATTTTTAAGAGCTTATATATTTAACAAGAAATATCTTGAATTAGTGTAGTAGTGGCTTATGAAGTCCTAATATTTTTAAGGTGAATAAAGGTTAGGTTAAGTAAAACTGATACCTTTTATATCTTGAATTAAAAAAGATTAGACTGAGCTACAAAGTTAATTTTTTTTTTATTGAATGCTTATTAAGTTTATAACAAAAATAAATAAAGAAAAAAATTATTTTTTAATTTTTTTTATTATATTTCTTTAGTGCAATAAAATTTTATAATTTTTCTCTTGATGGGAGTCATAAGATTTTGCACAAGATGAGATCCATACTCTGTGGTAGTTTTATCCCACTTCTTTTTAATGTCAATATTTAATTTTGCTTGCCTAAACTTTTTGCAGGATTATGTGTTCTAGGTATGAAATTGACACTATTGACATTGTTGAAGTTTAATGTAGATTTGGATTAATAACAAGACGTTAGGTCAGGCTGAAAAGCTGTATTACCATCACGGGTATTCCACAGTGGCAATAAGTACTTTTAAGGTAATCTTTTTGATAAATTAGCCACAGCTAGAGCAGCCGCGTCCGCAGTGGTACCACACTTGCCTCAGAAACAAAGGATCCCAGGTTCAAACCCCTTCTCTGGGCAAATTTTGCAACATCGGTTAGCAAAGAGGTGTGAACTTCCAATTAAATGCTCATCCAGGGTGCTCTGCGATAAGACTGTAAGGACTTTTTGGGGCACCTAAATAAAATTTAAAAAAAAAAATCATTTGTTGTGGAATTAATGACAAAACTTTGTGTTTTCAATTCACATTGACATATGGCTTGCCAAACCCTAATTTTTAAGGAGAATTTTTTTAGTTTTAGTTTAAGTTTCGTCAGCCAAGGTTTTTTCTATATACTTATATATTTTAAGGTTTGTGTGAAACTATTTATTACTTTGAATTTAACTTCTTTTGTGTTTTGCTTAATCTGGTTTTAAATAACTTTAATAAAACAATAACAGATAACATTAGTTTAGTAAAACCTAAAATCTTAAATTTTTTTGACACGTTTTGATTAAAACAATAATTGTATCATTAACAAAATAAATAACAAAGAGTTTGGTTAAATTTAAAGTAAAAAAATATTATTAAATACTGTGTTATATAAATGTCATATAAATGTTATATAAATGTTATATAAATGTTATATAAATGTTATATAAACTATAAAAATAAAATATCATTTAATGAAATGAATTGGTGTATAACAAAAGAGAAATAGTTCAAGATGAAATGATGATATGCTATAATTAAAAACTTTTTTTGTTTGTCCCACCCAATTTTTCTAGTGTTTCTTTAGTTTTTAATGAGATGTCTCAGCTTCATCTAAAATAGAAAAATACTTTTCAGAGGCAAAGTATGAAACTGTCAACTTTAGCATAACTATTTCTCCTTTGTTTTATATCAATTCATTTTATTAAGTAATATTTTAAATGTGCTTTTTGAGATTATAAGTCGATTCTTTTGTTCAAATGTTTAGTAGTGTGACCTACAAATTTTACTCAAACAAATTTTTATCTTACATTTGAAGTATGATGGCATCAAAGTCTTTAGTTAAGAATATTTATTCGAAAGGAAAAAAAAGTAATAAAGTATTTATAGATTTAAAATATTTTTTTATAAAATATTGTTATCTTATTTTGAATTTGATTAGAAAATCTATCAGAATAAGTAGCTTCAAAAAATTACTTCTGCTTCAAAAAATTACTTCTGCTTCAAAAATTACTTCTTCAATTTTGTACCTCTTGATTTTTAAGTTTAAATAATCTTTTAATATATAATTTAATATGTAAATCAATATGTAAATCAACAACAACAACAAGCTATTTCTTTTCCATTTTAAAATCATTTTTATAATAAGGTAAATAATAACAATAATAATTATAAAATAATAAGCAATAGTAATAATAATAATATACTAGCTGGGGAGACCCGTAAAATACGGGTCTTTACCGAACCGACCATTTTTATACTTATCTATAGCTATCCGGACGTAAACTAAGGGTCTTAGTAAATCAAAAAGTAAGTATAGTTTTTTATATGTACATTTTTAAACGGTTTTAAAAAAATATTGAGGTAAGGAATAAGTATAGAAAAGGTCGGTGTGGAATAAAAACATTCCACACCGACCTTTTCTATACTTATTCCTTACCTCAATATATTTTTTTAAAACCGTTTAAAAATGTACATATAAAAAACTATACTTACTTTTTGATATGACAAAAACATTTCTGTTAAAATGTTCTTTTAAAAACTTCAAACGATTTTAATATTATGCCGATTATAAAAATTTTAATAAGAGAAAACGTAAAAAAGACTACAAACTTAGAAAAATGCTAAAACATTCAACACGTGACGCCGTTAAAGTACGCCTTAGTTAACGTTCATAACATATACACATCTAATTAGATTTTATTTAAATTCAGTTGTTGCAAACTTGGTTTTGAATTTTTAATTACACTTCTTATGCGTCATAAATAATCTTAAATTCTAAATAGAAAATACGTTTATGGGCTGATTGGTAGACGCGCAACACTTAGACAGATATAGTCATCTCACCCCGGGAGTTCATACTCCAGTGACCTTTTTTTTTCATCCCAACTTACAAGAAAAGTAATTAAAAATAAATGTTATTATTGAAACTGTTTTAAACATTTCTTCCTATTTATCTTTGAACTTAACTTTATTCACTGCAAACATACTTTTGGTGTTTGTAAGCGTTATTTTACGTTTAGTATTTGTAGGAATTATTTGCACGCGCGTATTTTAAACAATTATTTTTACTGTTTCATCTAAAAATCTTATTTAATTTAGTTTAATAATTTCTTAAATATAATATATATAATATAATTTAAAATATTTTATTAACCCTATTTAAATAAGTATCAAAACTCTTTCCTTTAATTTAAAAAGAATTTAAAATTAACGTAGGCTATAACGATATTTTACCCTTTCATCAACATTTATTTAAAAAGTAAATTTGGATATAGAAAAACGGGTTAAAGACTTATTATTTTAAATAAGTTAGCTTTATCTATTTAATGCTTTTCGTAAAAGCGTTTCTTTAAAGACTCTTAACAAATCATTCAAGCTGTTTTTACTGCCTAAGTTATTAAACCTGTTGTGTGTGCCAAAAATCGATACTTAATGCAAATGGAAACTTCGAGTGCTAATGGTGATTAAAGCATAAATGGTTCCTACTCATATATAATAAAAGGAAATATAAAAGACAAAGCAAAAATAATTTTTATATCCATTTAAAACAATAAATCCCAAAATAAAAAAATATAGATATTTACTTAAAAACATATTTTTCTTCATATAAAATAAAAATATAACCTTTAGTACAAATTACAAAAAAAAAATTTATTCAACAGAGCTACTTATAATACAATTTAAATTGAATCATTGTTTCATAAATATTAAGCTTTAGGTAAGCCATAATCAAGTCAGCTATAAGAAACGGAACTAAAAATGGAACAAAGTTATTTAAACGCATAATCATGCACATTAATTACAAATTAACATGTCATGCAATCAATACTTTTGAAAACTCAAAAATGCGAATAAGAAACTTACTTTTTTATTTTTACGTAACCCTGACAGACCAACATGAATGTGAGCTAAATCTATTTGCATAAAACATCACAACAATTAATTAAATAGCAGAACCACCTTCAAAGGACAAAAAAATTAGTTTTTTAAGGAAAATTAGAGTTATTGGGAGGGGAGGTATTAATAAATAAAAAAGCTCAACTTGAATTTCAAAATTAGTT